TTTTTTGAGTGATCGTTGAAAAATCAATTTTTGAAAAAATATCAATTTCTTGAATCTCTATGAAAAATTGAAATTTAGGTGTTGTCAGTGAATAGAACTGATTAAAGTCTATATTCATGAAAAAAATCTTGAAATGCGATTGATCCCACATAAGAAAATTTTGGATAAAAAAGGTAGAAAAAAGACCACATAACACTCTTTAGACCATATTTAGTTCCTCTAAGACAAAAAATGAAAAATTTAAATGTGAGCCATTACAAAGCTTCCATTCGGAACCAAAAATGCAGAAAGATCAGTTGAGCGGGGCTGAAATAGCATTTTTTGAAGTCATACACTGCAATAAGCTAGAAGCATATAACTGATTTATGATCATGATACGTTGAGGATTTTACTCTCAACTGTGTGCGTACAGGATACATTTTACGAGAAAACCAGGTACCTGCATCCTGGTATTTATCATCTCTCGGACGATTCTGATACGTCCAACGTGACGTAGCCAAGTCCAGCCCCTACGGTCCCCCTTTACCACTCATCGCCTCCCCCCTCCCCCCCACCCCACCGCTTTCTGAAATGGCTACACGTGCGAGTGAACGGTGCTTTGTATTCGGTTATAGCATCGCAGAGGGAATATTCTGGTGGATATTACTGGTCAGGAATCAGTAATTGATGATTTTCTTTTGGAGCTTTGAAAGGAAAAGCTGGAGGGAGTCATCGACAAAGGATGATGTTTATCAATGCGAGGGATGAATGTGGCAATGCTGAAATTGCCATGGCAGGTGGCAGAAAATTGGATTGATTAGGATGGAGAATTGATCGGAATGGATGGAAGCCCTCCCGTAGCTCAGTGGTAAGAGGTATGGAGTGGTACGTCCCAGGTCGTGGGTTCGATTGCCTTTTCGATATATTCGATTTTTTCCGGAAGTTGTTTCCGACGAGTAAACCTTGAACTGTCAGGAGAGGAGCCTTGAGGGCTCGATTCATGACGATGATAAATCGTAATGCATGAGGTTTAGGAGTCTGATAAAGTTCAGAAAGTCCTTCAGGGTGATGGGAGCGCTGAGGGGCCGAGTCGTACGCATGAAAAATAAAAATTCATGAGAGGCAGGAGTCCAATGGGGGTCAGGAAGGACTTCAAGGTCATAAGGGCCTTGAGGGTCTAATTCTAAACGATAAAATTTCCACATCCGTCAGGATTAGATGTCATAAGGCTGAGAGTCCGACTCATAAGGCTGAAAAATTAGGATTCATAAAGATCAGGAGTCTCAACAGAGCCAGAAAGCCCTTAAAGATCGTGAGGGCAGCGAGGATCTGACTCATATCGATAAACAATCCACATCCGTCGGGATCAGAAGTCATAAGGGCTCTGAAGGTTCGACTCATAACTATGAAAAATGAAAATTCATGAGGATCAGGAATCCAATGAAGGTCAGGAAGCCCTTAGAGTTCATAAGGGCCTTCAGCGTTTCATAACGAGAAAAAATCAATATCCATCGCGATCAAATGTCATAAGGGCCCTGAGAGTCCGACTCATAAGGATAAAAAATGAAAATTCATGAGCATCAGGAGTCTGATGAGGGTCAGGAAGCCCTCAAAGGTTATGAGGGTCTGACTCATAACGATAAAAAATCCACAGCCATCGAGATCAGAATTCATGCGGGCCCTGAGGCTCCTGTGCATAAGGATGAAATATAAAATTCATAAGGATCGGGAGTCTAATAAGGAAGCCCTCAGATGTCATAAAGGCCTTCAGGGTCGAACTCATTACGACAAAAAAACAATATCCGTCAGGATTGTGTCTGATGAGAGTCAGGAAACCCTTGACAATCATGAGAGTTTCTACCCAATGAACAACATGCGCCTAATGATCCAGAGAATCTAGATTCATGAAAAACCTCGAAAGACACTTCCCACCACCCCCCCCCCCCTAAATTGTTCCATAAATAACAAGACTCCTCAACAAACACTCACCCACCGTTTCTCTCAATTTCCCATCTACCAATGATGACTGAAGTGTTCAGAGGTCGAGTGCGATCCAAGTACACTTTTCACAACAGTAAAATAGTATTGGTAACATCGTTAAAAGGATCAGACGCTGGTATGGGTCCTAAGCGCATTACGGTTTTACGTACATCAGAAGAGGATATTAGCCCACCAGCTCCCTAAAAGCACTAAATACATGATCCTCTTAATGCAGCCATCATCGGCTCAGAATCATCGAAAATTAATCTCCCCTCTCCGCCCAAAAAAATAGATAATTAAAAAAACTCCCCTAAAAAGTATTTATTCCGAATCTCCGACTCTTGCCATCTTTCTCGATTCCACCCACCTCCCACCCTTCGTTTGTAGTTGGGGAATCCCCCCCACCCCCCTGCCGTATCGACCGTTCATGCGCTGCGCCACCCAACTAACCCAACATCACTCTGTACACCCTCAGCAAGAGAGTCTACCCAGGCGAAAGTGAGACAGACATCCCTCATCCTGAGCATGCGCAACTAGGCGTAGTTGTGCTCTCACGACGCCAGTTTGTCGGGGTTCGAAGTAACGGTAACATCTCGGTGGAAAAACCAGGACAGCCGGCACCGGGGGGAGGGCCAAGACACGGGTCTCGTTCCTCATCGTGTAGTCAAAACTATTTTTGGATAACAATAGTGATCATAACCTCGTTCATCTCTCATCATCGATAATGGAGTTGTCCACGTGACCCTGGTGTTCGGAGTCAGCTTGTCATCAAAGTGCCAGGAGAGGATTGATAGGAAGGTTAGAGTGTCAGTGTGTGATTGAATAAACTCGAATGACAACAAGAGTTCAAAGCATGCCACCAATATGCGCAAGTTGACCAACTTGTCAGCTCATGAGAGGTCACTGCTGAAGATTAATCGCATATTAGAGTGATGACTGGAGACAACACATCTTCGAGTCACCCTAGATCCTCACCAGGACCATTTGAACATCAGCGGGAGAATAAAAATAAGGGGTTGCACCCCAGCATCTACACCCCGGCATATACAACCACTCAATGGTTGACTGTGTTTTCTTTCATCCTACAACGTTGACCTCCTCGAGCACGTTTCCCTGAGAGACACGGGGAATTTCACAGTACGTGCCTAACGCGGATTTGGCCGAGAGTTGAAATTCATCATTTCCGTCGTTGTGCAGTCGATTGTGGCTTTAATTTTTTATGATTATCAGTGATTTTGTAAGTGAATGAGTGACGATAGTGCTGTTATCGAGTGTGTGCTTGAGAGGATTAATCCCACCACTTGGTTTTTATCCTGCTCGTTTCGATGGATTAACGTGGAACAAGTGGTGATTGCTGTCTGGAATGAGACAACACTTGCCACCACGGAAGAATCATCCGACGATTGTTAGAGGGACTAATTAAATCCTGTGGCCTTGATTGAGTCCCTCCCGTGGGCTAAAAGTTTGGAGAGTAGAGAGTAAAATTGTTGAGAGAAAAATTTGTGAGGCCGAATGTTCGATTACTGTCAGCGACAGGCAGAGGCCCACAGGCGGAGATGAAGAGGCTGAGCAAACACCAAAGGGGAGGGTTTATTCTCGTATTTCTTGGTGCTGGTGTCTACGTCTATCGTAACATCAAGGATGCCATTCGAGACGAAATCGTCTCGGTGTAAAGGGCCCGGATGAAGCGCTGAGGAAGAACGAAAGATAGAGGTAAAAAGGCGAGGGCTCAGAGAGGGATTTGAGCATTTGGATGAGGACGACGTTTTGCAAAGATGAGCCAAGGTTGGAAATCAACGGTTGGAATGAGAGAGAAAGAGTAAGAGAGCCTTGTAAAATGTAGATATAAGACGGAGTGAGGTGGATACTGCATGAGGAAGCAGACGGTAATGATGACGGTTCTCGAGAAAAGATAGAAAAGACGACTATAAGCTCCAGGAAAATATTGATTCTCACTATTTGAAGTGGTATGAGCAGCGGAAAGCGGAAAAATAGCAAGCGGAGACAGAGAGAGGTGGAAAAAACGAAAAATTGTGGAACAAGATAGAGGAGGGATGGATACATGAGAGAGAATACTTGAAACGAAGGCTAAAGAAGCAATCAGCCAAGCAGATTGCCAACCAATTTCGCATTTATATATCACTCGGGCAAGAATTCACCGTCATTTTTATTACCTCTCGAGAGACACTCGGGCATTTCCACTCATCAAGTAAATACCCCCTCTGACAATGCCAGCAAATAAGATATTCCGTGAAATTGCTGGCACATGATCATCAACGAGGCAGACGGATTCAGGATATGTCTCGTCATGCGGAATCTGTTCATGAAAAGAACGTAACTCGGTAGAAGGAATATATTTTTCATTCCTCCGGTGCTGCACAAAAGACACCATCCTTCGAGTTAAGAACATCTCAACTCCGTCGTTCTGTCCAATTTTTTGTTCTCGTGAAGATCGACGTGAACACTCACTAGGGATTTAAATCAACTCGGCAAAATTTGCATCAGCCCCACCTACCACTCGCTGAAACCTGGGAAAGCCGGTAGTACTGCTGAGAGTTGATGGCAGTGGAAGACAGTTATCTTTGAAAATGGTCTCAGGATAGTATCGAAGACGTAATCACTGCCTCAGGTCTTTCGGAAATCTTGCTGGGTTACCATCTAGCAATTTGAAATCGTTCTCCTTCAACTCGTCTCGCCAGACCTACGATTTCCACCCACTGGTGCCCTAAAATCCACCCAGCAGTCGAGTGAGGAAGAGAAATTTGCAAGCGTTGTCGACATAGCTTCACTACGCCCAACGGCGTAACCAAACTTTCAGCTATTTGCCTTTCAAAACGCTGACTTGATAATGGCCCGTGTGCGCTAAACTTTTGGCCACAATCTGCCAGCATATTTCAACGTGGGAAATAGTCCAGACTTCTAGTTATATACATGGGAACCATACGACAAATCAAAGTATGATAAAATGGTGTTTTACATTCATGAGTTGATGATGGTTAAATGAAAAAGTCATTGAAGATTGTTATCGCAAAGTTCTAACAATGAATAACGAGTGCTCATCGGTGATATTGTGCAGATGGATGTATATTCACAAAAAAAGTGGAGATATGATGTCATTGTGGATGCTGATGGCCCTTGCGCTGTTGGCTGTGACACAGGCGGAATTGAGTTCACGTGTTATTAGGACAAAGTATGGTGAAATATCGGGTGTGATTGTGACGCTTGAGCGTAATTTGGAGGGTGTTGAGGTGTTTCGTGGGGTGCCTTATGCATCACCACCAGTTGGTAGTCTACGATTTATGCCACCTGTCAATGGTGCATTGTGGCAGGGTGTCAAGGTGGCGGACAAGTTTGGTCCAGTTTGTCCACAGAAGTTGCCGGAATTAACAAACGATATGCCCAAGGGGAGGGTTGAGTATCTTAAGAGGCTACTACCCTACTTGAGGAATCAGAGCGAGGATTGCCTCTATCTTAATATCTATGCACCGGTACAAGGTAGGTGGCTTGTTGATATGGCGAATTTCTGGGGCAGGATTAGGATGGGGAGGGTGAGATTGTTGATAGTTCTGGGAATGTCTTGGGATAATTGGATTCTGCTGGCGTTGGGAAAGGGCAATTAGTGGTGATTATGTGGGACTTTGTTTTTGGAAAATTCATTTACTGCGAAGAAAAACTTACTTTTGGTGAGAGACCTGCTTTGGGGAGAAGTTTATTTTTTTAGGAGGGGATTTCTCCAGGCCAATCATTCCCAAGTGGTCCATGTCCTCCAAGTATTACAATTATGTTGAATTATGGGATGATTATGCTACATATGACCTTGAATGAATACCATTATTTTTCATTCTTTTCAAATTTGAGATTTTTTTACGTTAAATAATTTGGAATAATTCTAAATGTTAATCATTGTCAATTGGTTTCGGTGAATCTGGTCCATCGTAGAACAGAATATTGAATTAATTATCTTGAAAGTATTGACGAAATGTTCCGAATTGTTAATTTCCAACAAATGTCACTGATCGGTCGTTCTAAAGCTACCGAATATCAACATAAAATGTTACATTTAGGTATTTACCGTCTTCAACTCAAGAGAAAAACTGTAGCGCATTGTGATGTTCATCAAATTATTAATTTTAAGAAAAATTGCACCTTACAATAATTAAGGTTTACTCATCTTCATTGAAATTTTAAAAATAACAAAATATTTGATTTGATAATTAAAAATTTTAATTGTCTATTGAGTAAATAATTCTAAATCTCATAAAAAGCATTTTTGATTCGCCAAATAATCGTCAATCCTCCGAACTTAATTATCGATTGGTAGAATAATTAGAAATTTAAATATTTAATTGATGAATAATTTAATAATTAGAAAATTGTTGAGTTATATTAACCAAGTGACTTATTCAAAACTTGAGTTCATTAAAAAATTTAGTTTTTTATGTCAATATTAAAAAAAAATGTACAATAATAATTACGAGTTACTGTTTTTGATATTCGACTCATATACAGCAAATTTTCATTTTTTTAATGTGAAAAATTGCACCGTTCATGTAAAATAGCCAAAAAAATGATTTTCAAAATGTTCAAAATATATAATCGATCTCCAATATATGAGAAATCTCACTCCAATCGCCCGCAACCTTTCAAACCTATAGTAATCTCCCTTTAATGTCTCAATTTGAGACATGAAAAATAGCTTGAATTCGGGGACACAAACGTCTTTAAAACATTGGACATTAGTTCTTCTAGTGTAATAATTGTGCACTTTAAAAAAAACTATGAAAGTTTCCCCTGATGAATTTATCATCGTCAATGCGCTCGTCCACACGAGACAATTCAATTTTTCATTCTCACAGGACACAAAATTCCAATTCGCCATAAGAAATTTCTCAACTTTTTCTTCATGTCACTTTACACAGGTAGAATGAGATGAGATCGTCTTCGAGTGAAATGGTTATAAGATTCTCGTCTATTTGTTCTCGGAACAAAGTTTTATATGAGAATCAGGGGAAGTGCTGAAAGTTGAAGGTACGAGTTGCAATGAAATTAAGTCCACTGTTAAATTTTGCCCGATAGCGATGAGATGGGAGCATTTAGCCTGATAAAAGTAGTTTCGAATATACCATCGATGGTTATCGTCGGGAGATGTTCGAGACGTATCGCCCGACCAAATCGGCGAATTCCAGACGCTAGCATCACCAAAAGCCATGTTATAACCCGCGCTCTACACATTCTCCTCCACCACTCGTTCTTTTCCTTTTCAACTAGTGTTTTTTTTGTCTGCATCCTATTCCTCACTCCTCTCTCTCTCTATTTTCTCCTATAACTTCTCTTTTTTTAACCCCGTTTTCATGCTTCCTCGTTGGCTAGTCTCAGTCCCATTTCAGCATAATAACTCAACGAGGAGAGAGGCGTCTATTGTTGGCCAACGCAAACAAAGAATCCATGAAAATGGCCATTAATTCGATGATTTGAATGGGAAAATTGTTATTTTATAGCCAACCACGTTCCTTTCATCCGAATTTTGTCACATATTTTTCGGGTTATAATGGGCTGGTGTTTTTAGACTGGGGGAATTTGTCCGGCTGCGTGTAAAATTTTTGGATGACATTTTCAGTGCACTTCTCGTAAATTTTTATTACATTTCAGTTTCACTAAATTTCGAGGAATTTTCTCATTGAAAATTCAGAATTTTATGGAAAAGTTATTGGGAACTATAAATTTCAATTAAATTATTCCATGAAATTTAATAGATCGTTAAAAAAATTTTGCTGAAATTTCCGTTCCAATAAAATTTAAAAGAATTTCGTCACTAAAAATGAAGAATTTCACGGAAAAATCAATGATAACTCAACATTTCTGTTAAATTTTTCCATAAAACTTAATAGAAATCAGCAAAATTACGGTAAATATGTTCCTCAATTTTCGATTACTTGAAAATTCATGATAATTCGGTACTGAATATTTTTAATTAATTGAAAATTCTACGTAATTTAGTCTTAAATGTTGATGTTTTCATTGAATATTCAAGGAAATGGCTCAAAAATTGGAATTTTTGGGGAAACTTGAAATTTCATGTTTGTTTTCTCTAAATCGAATTCAATGTCACTAGTCAACCATCAGTGAAATTTCAGTGTTTTCCAAACAGTACACAATATAATACAATTCTATAAAACCAAATCGAACTGTTTTATACACAAATATTACCAAGAAAATGGAAATGGCAACTTGAAAAAAAGTCCTACTTGAACCAAGCAATTCAAACGTCATATCATTCTGTGAAAATTACCCCTTTAAGAAAATTCGGAAACCCTTTATTTGATGTCCAAAATAACTTCGTAGAAAACCCAGAAAAGTTACACCGTTCAAACTTCAAATTGTAATACTCCCTTTCTACAATTCCAACATCAATGAAAAACGTCTTTAAAAACACCTGCATTCTTGAAATATCTCGAGAACAATTCTGAGATAAATGGTAATCCCGATTCTTCCCGGGTTCACGTTTCAGTCGGAATTCTAAAGTATTTCAACTCTTCAACTTCCCGAGACATTTTCCAACTATATCAACAAATAAAATAGGATCTCTGGTTTTCCCCGGCACTCGATGGCTAATTTATTCCCGTAATCACTGATATTCCATGCAAATCGATGCCGAAAAATTATTTAATGTCATAAGACCAGTAAAAAATATCCAGAGGTGAAATGAAGGGAGGAAAAAGCCCTGGTGAAATACGGAAATTTCAAAAAATTACTAACATTATACAACATCATAAAATATTGCGGAACCAAAACCAACAGTTTATAGTAATATAACATATTGTCATATTTTTTGATATTTAAATTATATTACTATTTGATTAAAAATGACGAGTGTGATGGAAATTATGAATTTGTTACCCTAAAATATATAACTTATTTGAGTTATCAAAATCGATGATTTTCTTTCACACAAAATTAGGAGCTTTTAATATATAAATATTATTTTCAAGTTACAATTTACAATTTTATTTTTATAGCAATCTTAAACACGACAAAACATTATTCCAATTAATAATTAATACGATTACGCAAAGCTTCAAGTGATGAAATGATGAGAAAAATATTTTTTTTTTATTATTCAGTGAGAGAAATAATTGATTGACCGGTCATGTCAGAGGTTGAGAAGCCACAGAGCGAGATGTCTCGCGTGAGGTGAGAAGTAACATGTCAAACCACGAGCGACACATTTCGCCAATTTAGTAAATTATTTGAATATTTTTGAGATTGATTGGCGCAAAATATTCGAATAACTTCAACTCATTACAATATTTATAAGCAATATAAATAATGCTTTCCGTCGTGATTATTATTTTAAACTGTTCATTTTACTAATTCAATTATTATACTTTATATTTATTTAATTCGATCCCGTAATTGGCCGCGTGCTGTTGGTCTGTACGAAATAAAAACGAAATAAAATGAAATTTGAATAGAAATTCGGTTTAAATGCAGCACTTCGAACATCATATCATTCGGTGCAAATTTCCCCTCTTAGACAATACGAATATCCTTCACATGAAGTAAAAAATAACTTCGCATAAAACCCAGGAGAGTTTTACCTTTCAAACTTCAAATTGCGATACAACTGATCTATAATTTCGATTGTAATGAGAAACGTATTCACAACACCTGCATTCTTGAACTATCTCGAGAAGTATTCCGAGATAAATAGGATCCCCGATGCTTCACGGGTTGAAATTTCAGACGGAATCCCAGAGTATTTTAACTCTTCAACTTCTCGAGATATTTTTCAACTGTATCAGAGAATCAGGTATATTCCGTCGCAACGAATTAGGAAGATCTCAATTTATAAATCGTTCAGCAGAAATTTAAAGATATCACTTGAAGACATTAATCATAACCAATTCCATGAGTGTAAGGTTACAAGGGTCAGATTAAGGGTCCTGAGAGTCAAAATAAGGATCAGGAGATTCAGATTGTGTGAGAATAAGGGTCAAATGGGTCAGATTAAGGATCACAAGGAGCAAAATAAGGGTCTCTATATTCTTTTCTATATTATAAAAATCCAAATCGCCTTCTGGTGATAAAAATTTGGTACACGAAATTAAGACTCCAAAATTGAGGGTCAAAATAAGGGTCACGAGGGGTATAGTGAGGGTCAGAAGGTTCACATTGAAGGTCACAAGGGTCTGAATAAGGATCGGGGGGGTCATATGGGGCCTCCCAGTATAAAATAAAATAAAAGTCGTACATAACTTGAGTGAGCTTAATTGTGATCAGGAGTATCGATCAGGAGACATCACGAGACAATATTTTGGAGAGATGGTCCTGGTCTCAATGAACATGGAAATCTTTGTTCTCGTCTCAGTTTCGAAATACGCAATATCGACTCCTCTCGGGATGACTCGGAGTCAATTTATCTCATCTCGGCCCCAAGTTTTCGTATTTTTAATGTAAAATCTGGGTTTTTGTCTCGCTTTGTCTCGTCTCGATTC